TATATAGATATATATAGATATATAGATATTTATGTATGTATATATATGTATGTATAGGCCAATAGATATATAGACATATATTCTTTGTGTGTGGAATATAACCACTGGTATTCCTCTGACTTCATGTGTGTTTATGTACCATCTTAAATCCTTGTTAATATAATGTTTCATTGTTTATCTATCTGTTTTTTCGCTCTCCTTCCATAACGTTACCGTTTGCATATCTGCCGACCGTGTTTTCGGGGTTTTTTTTATAACGCTTCCAGTGTTCCGAGGGCAACCCCTGTATTTGACGTCACAACGCTATGAACTGTGGGTAATTTCCTTACCGTAAGTCTGCATCGATGCTGACCTATGGTAAGGGGGCATAAAGGGCTCACTCACTGACTCACTGACTTGACGATTTGACAATGGGACAGCCCTCACACACTCACGCACTTCACATGAACGCGCCTCTAAGTCAGTGACACAGATCATCAGACCTGACTAACAGAGCACAGATCAGACCTGACTAACAGAGCACAGATCAGACCTGACTAACAGAGCACAGATCATCAGACCTGACTAACAGAACACAGATCAGACCTGACTAACAGAGCACAGTGCTGGTCTCACCCATAGGAGAAGCTGTCGTTGGATCTCCACCTGGAGATGACGGAGGCTGCCAGACCTGCCAGCAGAGCGGTGCAGTCAAAGAACATGTGGAAGGAGTCTGAGATCAGACCTAAACTGGAGAGAAAACACACAACACGCACATCAGTTACACACACAATCACTGAAACCCTAAGTGTGTTCGTCGGATCGTCTCAAGGCCTCTACAACATCATCTTTATTTCAAAACAGGAAACAGCGTGACTTCTGTTTGACCATGCAGACAGACACACACACACACACACACAGACACACAGACACACAGACAGACACACAGACACAGTCACACAGACAGACACACACACAGTCACACAGACAGAGACACACACACACACACACACACAGACAGACACACAGACAGACACACACACACAGACAGACACACAGACACACACACACAGACAGACACACAGACAGACAGACACACAGACACAGTCAGACAGACACACACACAGACAGACACACAGACACAGTCAGACAGACACACACACAGACAGACAGACACACAGACACACAGACAGACAGACACACACACAGACAGACACACACACAGACAGACAGACACACACACAGACAGACACAGACACACACACACACACACAGACAGACAGACACACAGACACACAGTCAGACAGACACACACACAGACAGACACACACACAGACAGACAGACACACACACAGACAGACACAGACAGACACACACACACACAGACAGACAGACACACAGACACAGACAGACAGACAGACACACACACACACAGACAGACACACAGACAGACAGACACACACAGACAGACACACACACACACAGACAGACAGACACACAGACACAGTCAGACAGACAGACACACACACAGACAGACACACAGACACACAGACACACAGTCAGCAACTTCAGATGCAACCTGCGTCTGCAGCCCTGACAGTTAGCACAGAGTAGCACCCAGCGCTCCACCTCGTGTTTTCTGGGTGGTTAAAGACGCAGCATGTAAAGACCCAGGAAGAATCAATCTCTGCTCTGAGCTAAAGTTCAGGTCCTGAATCACTTTGTGGTTTTCAGCAGTTTAGTTTAGTTTATTAAGGATCCCCATTATCTGGTACCGTAGTAACCAACGAGTCTTCCTGGGGTCCAAAGTACAGGTGAGGTGAACATGAAAACTCACCTGTACTGAATGATTAGTGAAGACTGAGCCACCCAGCATCATTAAAGCAGGAGAAGTAGTTTAACTGTGTCTGTCCACAGAGACATTCACAGGTATGAAGAGAACACTTCTCAGATTTTCAGCCTTTTTTTTCAGTTCTGTCGGTAACCATGGTAACGGTACACATCAAAGATGGCGACAGCTGAAGCATCAAAATTAAACAGAAACTCAAGTTTGAGCGATGAAGCTGAACTGAGAGAAGTTTACACCTCTGTTACTGAGGACAGGAGAATAATCTGATCACTGATCAATAAACACATCAAGCCTGTCTGATCACTGCTCGACAGGAAGTGTGGAGGCGCGCGCGCATACACACACACACACACACACACACACACACTAACACTAACACTAACACTAACACTACGTGGCACATCATGAGCAGAACAAACAGCTGATGCTAACGGATGCTAACAGTGTTAGCTCACCTGTTGCTCCAGAGGCCGTACGTCAGCTCCACGAAGGCGAACGAGAGGTTGAGACAGAGGAAGAAGAACAAGTTCCGCGAGGTTTTATCCGCGAGGATCGACCTGAAAACACCAAACAATCACAACACCTCCATCACCGGACAGACCCGACACAACCCGACACAGGAAACCCGACAGAAACCCGGGTTATTCCCTGCTGGTGGTCCCGTTCACACACAGTAACACATGCAGTAACAGCCTACAGTGAGCTGAGACACACTTTAATAAAGAATCCACACATCTGTTAGCATCAGGCTAACCGGTTAGCATCAGGCTAACAGCTCATCCTAACTGTTAGCTGCTTGACCGTTAGCTCCGCCGTTAGCATTTAGCTCCAGCAGGTGAGTTTACCTGAACCATCCTGAGAGCTTGAGCAGCAGGTTGAACTTGGCGGGTTTGTACTCGTCGTCTTTAATAGATAAAGGTAACATGTTCACACCTGAACACACACACACACACACAGACACACACACACTCACTGGAGACACCGAGCTACGGTATGCTAACTGTCAACTTCCGCTCTGCTCCGCTTTCACAATAAAGGCGCAGCGCAGATAGATATTACTACATCTACACACCAGCAGTGGCGGTTCTAAGCCAGTTTCAATGGGGGGGCAAGCTAGGGCCAGTCCTTTTGATACGGGGGCAAATACAAGCAGGGTCAAATATCGAAGTCTGAACAATAAGACATATATGTATA